AGCAGGTCCAGGGAGGTGATCCTCCCCCTCTATGTGGCACTGGTCAGGCCGCAGCTGGAGTACTGTGTCCAGTTCTGGGCGCTGCACTTCAGGAGGGATGTGGACAACATGGAGAGGATCCAGAGGAGGGCCACGTGCATGATCAGGGGGCAACAGGGCAGGCCCTACGAGGAGAGGCTACGGGACCTGAACCTGTTCAGCCTCCACAAGAGAAGGCTGAGGGGGGATCTAGTGGCCTGTTACAAACTAGTCAGAGGGGACCAGCAGGCATTGGGGGAGTCCCTGTTCCCCCGAGCACTACCAGGAGTGACCAGGAATAATGGTCACAAGCTGGCAGAGAGTAGATTCAAACTAGACATCAGGAGGCGCTACTTCACTGTCAGGGCAGCTAGGATCTGGAACCAACTTCCAAGCAAAGTGGTGCTGGCTCCTACCCTGGGGGTCTTTAAGAGGAGGCTAGATGTACACCTTGCTGGGGTCGTTTGACCCCAGTACTCTTTCCTGCCATGGCAAGGGGTCGGACTTGATGATCTGCTCAGGTCCCTTCCGACCCGACCAACTATGAAACTATGGAAGTCTGGTGCACGCAGAGTAAGAGAACCTGTAGTGGTGGTTCCTGCTCTGCGGACGCAGGACTTCCTTCTCCAGAGCTGTCAGGGTAGGGAGGACCTGTTATAAACATGAACTCGGCTTCTGAGAAACTTGTTTCTAAAACTAACTTGAAACAAAAATGTTTGAGTGGAGGCTGAACTCCATTTCTAATCTGGGCTGTTATGAAGTAGAGTACTGGGATAGATGCTTCTCCTAACTATTTTGCACTGTGTTAGTGAGAAACTATAGAGTCATAGTAACAGTGGAAGTCTTAACTCAAGACGCCTTGTTTTTATTGGCTCAGGTTATCAAAAACTGTTACAGCAGGTTACTGTTTGAAACTGCAGAAAAGTATATTTTTAAAAATCTCCTGATGGCCTTAGAACAGGAGTGCAAAACATATGGCCTGTGGGCTGGATTTGGCTCGTGGAACCATTGTCTCCGACCCACCAGCAGTGCATTGCCCCTCAGCTTTGCAGTGCTACCTGCCCCTGGCATTTGTCAGCCAGCTGGAGCTTCATGCCATCGGGAGTGGTATGGAGCTGGGGCATGTGGCTGCATAGAGCAGCATTCATGCAGCTGCCCACCTCCAGCTTTGTGCTGCTGCCCAACGGCACGGATCTCTGGCCAGTCAAGTAGCGTCAGGAACGTGTGGCAGCACAGGTCTGGGGACATGCAGCTGCACAGAGCCATATTCGTGGAGCACAGAGATGGGAGCACACCTCAAGGAGTCAGGAACATGACTGTGCTCCACACCCCCAGCTTTGTGCCACTGTCTAGCCAGAGTTTTGCACTGCCATGTGCCCCTGGCTTCGCACGCACACATGCAACTCCATGCAGCCCCATGCCCCCAGACCCACCTGACCAAATGCAGTCTCATGGATCTGTCCTGGGAGCAGTCCCTACAATCTGGATCCAGGCCCCAGCCCAGGGTGAGCTTGACATCCCTGCCTTTGAAGAGAAGTTACAATGTACAGTATCATTCACAACCATCCTGATTGTTGTTTAAAACAAACAAACAAAAAATAGGAATTGATTTATGATAATTTCTGCAGAGAGAAATTATGCATTAGGGTAGAACTACTGTTATGCCTAGTTTAATCCTGTTGATGCTTAAGGCAGCTAAGCAGACATCCCTCAAAAAGGCTTCATAGCACAAGGATGCGGTGTGCTATGTTATGATCTAGGGAAGAGTCAAATGTAAAGTGTGATTTTGATCCCGTTGTAATGTGTAGGGGACCAAATAAGCCACTCCCAGTTGCTGATGCTACAATGTGGGGGAAGAGATGCAAAAACACGAGCTTTTAAAAAATCCAGGGACAATTCTGAGTTAGAGACAGAGAGATAGGGAGGCAACAAATGTGACTACAGATTAGGTGCATCTGGTCCTGCTTCCTGGATTAAAGGAGTAATCCAGCATCAAATTTCTCAACTCTGAAGGTTTCAAGAATGTGGATTAAGTAAAACCAGAGATGAGAAGTGACTAAATCCATTAAGAAAGCCTACAGCAGAGACAAATCAAAAACAGGGGTGGATGAATTCTGGTAAGGCGCCAGAAGTGGTGAGGAGTAGAATTACAGGAAAAAGGTGATGTGAAAGGAAAAATATTCTGATTCAAAGATACCACTGAGGTTTCTGGATTTATGAGCTAAGTTGAAGGCAGATGGTAAGAGAGGCCTTTCTTGGCCAAAAAGAGGGTTCATTGACGCATCAGATAACAGCAAGTTCTGATACAGCAAAGGGCCAATGGTAGATTGAAAAGCAGAGGAGGAGACGAGGCAGGTGGAAGATGGGGTGGCTGTCACCCAACAGTGACGGTTCAGTTCAGCACTAGCTGGAAAGAAAACAGATTGAATAGACAAGTAGACAAGGCCAGAAATATGTAGGCAATTTATGGCAGAGGTTAGGTGAGCCTTTGGACAGTTGAAAAGGAGCATTTAGCGGAAAGATTCAGATCAAAATGTGGCTTACTGAGAGTCCCCTGATCAAGACAAATCAGGAAAGCCATTGCTGCAATGGCCTCAGATAAAATGAGAACAAAATAAGATCAGTGATCAGAATCAATACTGCTTGGTCCTTAAGTCTGACAGTCTGCAGTTGTCTGAAATTGCAGCTTAATATGTCTTCGCACAAAAACCTTAAAGCAAGCATGGGGAGGGGGTGTTTGCCTGTGTACAGTGTGGAAGTTTACATTTGGAATTACCGGAATTGAAGCCTGTTCCCCTTGTCTTTCCTCTGGTGAATAATTTAACTTAATATCGGGATCACTGAAGCCTAAAAGTTTCTTGTTGGGTTTTTTTTTAAATGTATTTCTGTGAGAACGTATATGTGATAATAGTGTTTTGTCTTTGATTTCCCATGTGCTAACTGTTTCTGCCTCATAAGCTCCATCAAGCCGTTTAAAAAAACCTCTGCCTAATCTCATCAATGAGCAATCAGCTTTTCAAAGTTGGATTTTGAATGTAAAACTTTCAGTTGCCATTAATGTTTTTCTTTAAAAATACTTTGAACTTGAAAGGAACTCTGTGCACACAAACCTGTCTCCTTCCAGAGTTCTCGCCCCGGCTCCCCAAGGCTGTGGGCTGAAACGGCATGGAACTTGTCCACGTTTTTTGGACAAGCTGTGGGCTGGAGACTGGCATGAAACTTGTCCATGTTTTTTGGTTTTGAGAACAGAAGGTCTGTGCAGCCTGTCTAAAAAGGAACTGCTCTGTTGTGGTGGATGAGCAAACATTCCAGCCCCTTCCTCCACCACTGATGCATTTCAGGGCAGCTTGCCCGAGTTGAAGGTCTGACGTGGAAATCTGAACCATGGCGCTCTTCTGTTCATAGGGCTTTTTTTTTTCTCATTGTCACTTAAAAGCTGTAAGCATCATCTCCTGTAGCGTCAAGGGGCCACAGGTGGAAGTGAAAACTGTTTTCCAGATGTGCCGACAGTAATTTGCCTACATTGTGCATCCCCTTCCTTCTTAATATTTTATAGGTTTACAAGGCCAGAACATCTAGGAAGCAGTGCCAAAATCAAATGTAGTGGTTGCCATAGTTACCAGGAATCTACCAAACAACTCACTATGAAGAAATTACCCATTGTGGCCTGTTTTCATCTCAAAGTAAGTTCACAAAGGGCAGGGTAGCTGAGAGAGTACAGACTCTGCTCCAGGAGGATGAATTGAGCTTCTGAAGATCTTTTTTATTTGGAACTCCGCTGTAATGAATGTACTGTAACATTAACAAGTTTAAAGGCCTGATGGCTTGCCTTTCCAGCTGTATTTTATATTATGGTACCCCACAAAATAGCACTTAGGAATGAAGAGGTAACAGAATTTCTGAACCAACCCAAAAAACTAATCCCTAGAAGCACAACAAGCCACACAGAGCAAGAAGGGAAATAAAGATATCCTGAGCTTCAGCTGGAAGAGGGCCATAAATGTACTCAGTACGTTGAAGGGAAAAAATGCCAAAATATGAGACTGCAATGGAGAAGGCTTCCTGTAACTTCCCAGCCAGTTCTCTTAAGATTACCCTGTGGTGGTTGTTAGCAATTTCAACCCAATTGATGTCAGATTCTGTGATGGGTAATAATGTAATAGATGGTCCCTCAGGTAGTTCAGCCCTGTGCTATTTATGGCTTTAACTACAAATAATATGATTATGATTCACAGGGAAGCAGGCAGGCAGTGCAGAGCATGGGTGTTTTTCTGACAGGCAGAGCCTCATGAGCAGTACCAGAATATGTTGCAGTAGCATCTGTCATAGTTACAGAGCTAACTGCATTTCTGATCCCTCTTGGCTTTTCACATGCACACCCACCCTCTGACCCAACTCCCAGTCTCAATGGAGTTTCAAAAAGCCTGAGCCTGAATTGATTCAATCTTTGCAAGTTAATCTAAGATAGCTGGGCTGAATCAGTTTGTAACTGCGCAGGCATCCCCTCTGAAATGACAAAATGCAGGCACATGCCTGCAGTGGCTCAGGCTAGAAGCCCAGGGGGCTCTAGCACAGCCTTCCCTTCCATTCTGCAGTGCTGAGTGGAGTGGGGTGTGGCCAGGCCCTGGCAGGAGGCTCTGGTTAGGGACTGGTTCCCCCTTTTCTTACCAACCCAGGAGGGAATTGATAACACAGTGTTTATCACCCCTTTTAGAAAACAACCGAGGGACATTACCAGCTACCTATTGATTCTGCCTTTGTCCCGTCTGCCAAAGCATGGACTGTAACCAGCATGTGGTCTGCTAGCTAATGCTGAGAGATGTCTGTGTAAAGCAGAGGGAGGAGGGGAGCCGGGGGAAGTCAGGCAGATGCCTGCAGTCTCTGCCAGAGCTGCAGCCAGGGAGCAGAGGGGAGGGGCCAGCCCTGCTATGAAGCAGAGAGCCCCACCCAGCCAGAGAGCATGCCGGGATGCTGGGGGAGTCTGATTTAACTTAAACCAGCAGGGAGTCAGGGACAGACGTTGCATAAACTGGTTTGACCCAAATCACTTAAGTGTGATACTACATTCAGCCAAGTTTTTCTCAAACCGGTTTCAGCCACTTTCAATCCAGTTTATGTGCACTGAACATCTGCTCTGCTACAGGTTTAAACCAGTTTCTGATCACTTCAACCGGTTTATGTGTAATGTCTGTCCCTAGCCAAGTTACCGCCTCTCCCAGGGTAGAATTGTGCAGTTCTCCAGGTCTCCGACTGGGTCGTGGGCTGTGGTCACAAGGCACTATCCACAAGCATCTCAACAGGCATGACTTTGGTTTTGGTCCTTGTCATCCTCTTCATGGGAGCAATGACAATGGTAGCGAATCACCAGGCAGCCTTGTATATTAAGGCATGATTTTACTCAGAACCAAATGTATCCAAGGAAACCAACCTTAAAACAATAAAAAGCCTGTATTTATATACCAGGGGTATCCTTAGTTGCTTCCCCAGGGCTTACATCTCTGGCTTCTGTGTCAATCTCTCTCACCAAGCGCACCTACTCATATCCTGGCCACCCCACACAAAGGAGTCTCCGGAGGGTCCTTTTAACTGCTCTAGTATCTGTTTGATCTCTGTTGTCAGCAAAACAGCTGTGTCACTTCAGGTTGGAGCCTAGAAGTAGATGATTGTCTTGGAATTGCCCCCAGAACATTTGTTGAGAGGTTGTTTCTCTCTAGCTATTGTGTTGGTTTCCTGCTTACTTTTTTAGCAGTCTAGCCTCCTGTTTAGCTGTTCATACTGTTACATATATCAGTAGAACCATGCTGCATAGTTCTGTTGGAATATAACATATTCCACTAGAACCATACAGTATCTTTATCACACCAGGTCACGTACGCTGTTATAAAACTATTACAGATCAGTATTCTTAGATTGCACAGCAACTCCACATCGGCTACAGCTGCAGCCTGCAAATGGTTTTCCAGAGTTGGCCTATATAAAAACACTTATGGCTGTGCATTGCAGAGGTCAAAAAGGCATGGAACATCACAGCGAGATCCACATCCAAAGGAAAAGATTACTGTTCCTCCCTAATGTAGGAATAAAAATAACAGTTTTATGATAGTCGAAGCATGAGCTTCTGCATTGGAATTAGGGTCAGAAGTTACTTGTAATTCATGAACCTGCTTGATCTGCTCAGGCCAAGCCAGTTGATGGACCACAACAAAACCCTCTCACCGTTTCCCACACCTGCCAGCATTTCCTAACTCATGTCTAAGAGACGTTGAGTTTCAACCGGCTATTGCACATCTGTGCCCCAGACACTGTCAAGCAACAGGACAGTCCTCCAAGGTGATATTGGCCTAATCAGGACAGGCAGTAATGCAGTTTGTGCCTCCTCCCCTACCCCAGCTGCTCTGAAATGGTCTGCTTAATGGAAAGATTGCTTTCAAGATGACTTGCTTGTTTTTCTTAGCAAAGTAGCGGAAAGAAGTGCTCAGAAGGTGAGGCTGCTCCCTGAGCAAGACAGCGTGAATGAGAGGGTAGGGAAGACATTTCATCACAGTTCAGCATTTGTGTAGGCATCGCAAGTGAAGGTTTTTGAAAATAAGTGATTTTCTCTATAAGCGATTTTGTTGCCCTGTCTGTTCAGTATTGAGATGTAACATTTCATGCATCAAGCCAGATTTGCAGCAGCTCTATACCAATATCTGTAGACTCCAACAGCTGTTGTAATGATAAATTGTAAGTTATTTATGGTTTAGCAAATATCAAAATCATCATGGAGGGCATATGTTCTGACATAGTTCATAATGCAATTAAAAAGATGAATGGAGAACCAGAAGTATATAAGTCTTAAGTTTTTGACATCCTGATCTGCTACTGGGGAATTGTTACAGCATTGCAGACAGAGAATAATTAACTAGGAGAATAAATACAACAGAAGTTCTGAGAAATAGGGAAAGTGGCCCTCTTTAAATAGAAACCCACTCATCACTTCCTGCTATTTGTTCCAGTTTGGTATTCAGAGTATGATGAAAGGATGACATTGTATTGCAAACTCATTTCTCCATTTAGGAGAAGAGAGAGATTTTTTTTAAAGTTTTTCTTCCTTTTGGTCCTTATTTTGATTTAGATTTCCTTTGCACAGGTGACTGACATAAAGGTGCTGGTCTCTTGAGATGATTTCTTGCCTGATTGAATTGGTCTTATGGCATAGCTAAAGGCATAGCTGTCCCCAGAACACTTTAATCCCAAGTTTGTAAGCTGCCAGTTACCATATGTTTGTGACTAACATAATGACAGCCTGGCTTGCTTGAGTTTTCTGGGTGTCACCTCAGCAGAAGTGCCTCTCATAACCAAAACTGCCCATAATTGTGTCTGGCTCAACACTTAGGTCACCCATTCCATGTAGCAAGCTTTCACCTCTTAGATTCATAGATGTAGGGTTGGAAGGGACCTTGTAGATCTTCTAGTCTGACCCCCTACCCTGGGCAGGAGAGAAAACTGGGCTCAAATGACCCCAGCTAGGTAACCTCTTCATTTATGGAGGTATTTATTTTCTCCAAGAATTGGGATGTCCTGGGGAAAACATGTTACAAGTGTTTTTGAACTTACCAATATATAGATTCTACCAGAAAAATATTCATTCATTTTAGTATCCCTTTCCTGCTGCATGCTGTTCTTCTTTGGTTTCATCTTACTCCCTATATGAGATGCATACAAGGAAAGAAAATGAGTCTCTTCTCCTAAAACCAAACAAAAACCCTTCCATTTTCTGTCTTTAGCGGTTTGAACATTCAGCTAAGCTGAGGCGAAAGATCACTACATACGTCTCCTTCCCACTGGAGCTGGACATGACACCATTTATGGCTTCCAGGTATGTTTAAAGCTAAAAATCCCTCCAGAAACAAGGTTAATCTGGATACCAGTTGTGCATGTTGTGAAAGGTAGAATGTCCTTTGAGTCGGGGTTTTGGAACAGTGTGCATAGCAATGCATGTTCAGGGATATCCCTCCAAGTGTGTCTGTGCAAGGGTTTGCCCTGGTTTCATGAAATCCATTTCGGAACAAACTTCAGTTGAACAGTGCATGTTGTGCACAAGCAAGGTCCTCCTCAGGCTGTTTAAAACTTAGTTTTCTCTTAACATTGGTTTACCTTCAGAGTTGTAGTTAAATGACAGGGGCATCCATTTCTCACAGCATTAAAGATCCAGCAATCCTTTGGGACCACACCCAGAGATCCAAACTTTCCCCTGCCCTCCCATGTATCTATAAACATATATACAAGCTGAATTTAAAACCTCTTTCAGCGTCTGTTCAAATGCCACGGGATCAAAAGAGATCACAGTCCCCATTAATCAAAGGGCATGTTAGCTATTACGCTTGCCCAGATGTAGGCAGACCATTTTCACCCCAAATATCAATCACAAAAACACAAACTTTTATGTAAAAAATCCTTCCATAAGAGTTTGGTCAAGTGATCTGGGACAATAAATACTTACTAAGTATTACAGTCAAACTATTAGTTTGTGGGGTGTTTTGAAAGATTAAGTTGTTATTATATAAATTTAATCTGAACCAGTAAAAGAACAATTTTAAAATCCTTTACCACAGAGAAACATAGGTATTGCTGCCAGGAAAGAGAAACAGCTCCAAACCTCCAGTAAATTGCCTGTGTGATATCAGAGAAAGTTATTTTATATTAGTGCATTCCTGTGTCTTTGAGGCTTTCCCACTCCTCTGGGGAATTCTCTGTGGATAGACAAGATGGGTATTGATGGAAGGTTTCACGTCTGATAGAATATAGTCATTATTACATCAGGGTAATAGGCGCTGGGTGTTTTTGTAGCAGAGGATTCAGGAGTCAGGGTTTCATCAGCCTCTGAAACCATGAGGGAAATTGTATTGCTGTAGTCAAAATTGCAAAATATACTTTCAAGTCAGAACAAGAGAGGTTGACTCACCATAGTTCAAGGAGTTAATGTAATTAGAGAGTCAAATAAATCTTTCCTTGAGCTACCTTAAAGTTTGGAGACTCAGAAGCGGACTTAAGCATGTGCTTGCTCACAGGATGAGGCCCTGTTGGGAGAAGAAATCCCATTTAGGTGCCACTGCTGCAAGCACAAATAAAACATCCTTAGTGCTTAGCAAGCCACTTGTACCACTGACCGGGGTCGTATTTATGTCTGGAGGCAGCAAACAGGCTCTCAGTGCCACATGTGACCCCTTGCCTATGCTTGCAGTACTGCTGCTTTAAGTAACTGTTTTTTGTATTTTTGTTGCAGTAAAGAGAGCAGGATGAACGGGCAATACCAGCAGCCTACGGATAGTCTAAACAATGATAATAAGTAAGTGGTACACTTCAGTCCTCTCCTATTGTGCATGGCGGCTGGCTTTAGCAAGGTGAAATTGAATCTGGTCTGTGTCCTGCCGTGATAAGTGCATTGTTGTATTTTCCAGCACAGTCTGAACGAATGCGAAATAAAGCTTCATACTGCAGGTTTTACTTAGCCTTCATAGTTTTTGGCAACTCATGGTAGACTTAACACTAGTAGTGATGATATGGTATGAATTAGAAGTCGTTGGTATAAGAGTGAGAGAGGCTTTTTCTTTACATGCTTTTCTGTTGCAACAGTGGGTGGGAACTATCATTACTGGCTCTGAGGAAGTTCCAGAGACTGGAAAAAAGCTACTGTTGTGCCAATATTTTAAAAGGGTAAAAAGGGATGACCCCAATAATTATAGGCCTGCCAGTCAGGCATTGATCCTGGATAAAATAATAGAATGGCCGATATGGGACTCAATTAAGGATTAAATTGGGGCAATTAATATCAGTCATCATGGGTTTATGGAAAATAGATCTTGTCACACAAACTGATATCTTTTTTTTATGCAGTTACAAATTTGGTTGATATGGTAATAGAGTTGATGGTGTAGACTTCTGTAAGGCATTTTACTTGGGTCCACGTGACATTTTGATTGAGAAATTACAGTGATACAAAATTGCACATTAAATGGATTAAAAACATGCTGCTGATAAGTCAAAAATTAAGTGGGGAATTGTCATCGAAAAGGTGAGTTTCTAATGAAGGCCCCCCCAGATCGTTTCTTGACCCTGGACTATTTAATATTTTTATCAATGCCCCAAAAGAAAACAAAAATCAGGTGACACAAAGATGTGGGGAGTGGTAAATGACACAAGGGACAATTCATTGGTATATGGTGATCTCAGTCTCTCGGGCATGCTGAGCACAAGCCAGCGATATACATTTTTAATACAGACAGAGATAAAGTCATATGGGTGAAAGAAAGAATGTAGGCCATGTGCAGAGGATGGGATAGTCTTTCCTGGGAAACAAGGTTTTCAGCCCTCTGAAAAAGGCTTGGGAGATGTGCTAGATAATAAGGTAGCATGAGTTCTCAGTGTAACACCGTGGCCCAAAGGGTTAATATGATTTCTGGATGTACCAACAGGGCAACATTGGGTAGGAATAGGAGGTTATATTGTGTTTGCTACAGCCACTACTGGAAAACTGATCTGTTCTGGGGTCCACAGTTAAAGAAGAAAAATTGGAGAGTAGAGAAGAGTCATGGGAATGACTGAAGGATCAGGCAAATGCATTTTAGAGTGAAATACTCAAGGAACTCAATCTGTTTGATTTAAGCAGTGATTTAATCACAGCCTATAAGTACCTCTGGGGGGCCGGGAGGGGAGTGAAGAACCACAAAGCACTCTTTGCTATAGCACGCTAAAGGTATAACTTGATCTGGTGACTGAAAATCCAAGTCAGACAAATTCAGGCTTAAAATAGGGAGCAAACTGTTAATAGGTAGGGTAATTAACCACTGAATCAGCTTACCTTCACTGGAAATGTTTAACTCCAGATAGGGATGTTTTTCTAGAGCTTTGCGGTAGTCCAAAATGGACAAAGGGAGAGAAGTGCTATGGCCTCTGTTATACCAGGGGTCAGACAAGATGATTAAAATTGTCACTTCTAGCTTTATTGCCTACTGATAGAAATCTATTTATTTTAAAAGAAAAACCTCTGACCACTCTCCCAGAGCTGTAATAGCACAATTGGTTTCAGGCAGTAGCAAGATAAGGGGGGAAACTGTGGTTCTTTTTCTTTAGATGGAGGCAACCCATCCCCACCCACTGTTAAGTGTACTGGTGTGTTAATGCCATTAAAGATCCCATCCACTGCTTATGCACATGCACAGATGAGCACAAGTTTCTACTTATACAAAAATGTCAAGTGTTTTTCTTTCTTTTCTTTTCCCTCCCTGCCATGGATCCAGTCATTCAGTAACCATGCTTTTCCCCACCAGGTATTCCTTGTTTGCAGTAGTTAATCACCAAGGAACCTTGGAGAGCGGGCACTATACCAGCTTCATCCGGCAACACAAGGACCAGTGGTTCAAATGTGATGACGCCATCATCACCAAGGCTAGCATTAAGGATGTACTAGACAGTGAAGGGTAGGTTGTGGACAAACAAGGGGATGGGAAAGTTTTGTCTTTAATACAAGACCCCATGTTGGTGGAAGGAAGACAGTTGTTATGAAGCAGAAAAGGGGTGTGGTGAGAGCCACAGGCGAGTGAGTGGCAGCTGGACAGGGTGAGAAAGAAGTCGAGTTTGAAAAATGCTGTGAAAGTACCTTTGTAGGAGATCCCCCTGCCAAACATCTAGAGGAGGTCGCCCCAGGAAGGAGGAAGCAAGTCTGACCCACCAGCTTGACCACTGAGACAGTGAAGGCCAACTTCCAGCTCTGTCTGTGCATCATACAAGACTGGTGTCTGTAACTGGCACTCATGTTCACTGTCTCCTACAAGGAGACACAAGATCCTACAACGTCACCAGCAGGACAGGTGCTCTGTCCCCATTTCCTTCTCCACCTGAAGTCACAAAGATCAGGAAGACCTTTTTAAGCTTTTGCAAATGGAAGAGGCTTGTTTGGCCCCAGCTGACGATCAGACAATATGGTGTTGAGTGTCATATAAATATCTGAACAGACACCCCGAAAACAAAAGCCATGACTCTATATGAAAAGCCAGGTAAAACCCCTCTAAGATTACTATAACGGCAAGCGATTGAAGAAAAGCCAGTAGGAAACGCTGAACCACAGAGAGGCAGGGGAGTGCGGAAAGCAGGTGTGACGCTAGTACTTTTAATTTTTCCTTTCAATTGATTTTATGTTGACACTGTGGCTTTAACTCTTTGCATCCAGCAAGTACTGGGAAGTTGCACAAAGGCATTTGTACATGTTTGTCATTCGAGAGGCATCAGGGATTGTGTTCTATTTTGAGAATAAATAAGACAACTTAAAATCTGTAATCGCCTCCATGCTGGCATTTCCAACCATGGGTTTGGTATTGGAAAGATCAGATCTGTTTTGTTCTTGTTTTTAATTATACCTGACATTTCCTTTGATTGCTGTAGGCACAGATGTTCAGTTTACAATTTTTTAATAGGTTTTCACTTTTCTTTTTCTGCAATTCAACCTGGCAATATGCATTTGCTTTATAATACCCATTTTTTAGTGCCAAATTATTTTCATTCGTTCGTTCATTCTAAAGGTCAGTGGACCAAATTAATTTAGTGGGTTTTTGTTTTGGAAGGAAACGGGTAACACTGCTTCTGGGGCTGGTCTCATCTGTGGAAGTAGCTTGCAGCTCCTCTCAACAGTAGCCTCCCCAGCTGATTTAAGATGCAATGTTAACTAACTGAAAGGAATCTTATCCATTTAGTCACTATCTAAATAAATGCTGACTCTGACTGGGCCTCCATCTGTGGAAGCAGGCAAAAGGTTAAGGGAACTCTATGGGAGGGGGAGGAAATGAGAGGTAATAGTCTTTTTGTGGCTCTGTCTCCAATTTTAACTGAGCCTTGCAGCAAACCTGCTGAGATGTGGTGGGGAGGGAGGGGGGCAGTATGCACAGGGATTGCTTCACTGAACTGCAGACTTCATATGGGTATAGAGTTCAGTAGTCTTATAGCAGTCCTCAGAAAGACTGCATGGTATTTTGGACGAGAAGAGAAGTTTATCCAGTTGAAACCACAAAGCAAAGCATAGGTAGATGTGATAGATATGGTGCAGGTCAGATTTGGGTGGGTATGCAAGGGTCCTTGGTTCTTTTTAAAATCAAGGGGAACTGGATCTTTAACAATTAAGTGGTGGAGACCTCAGTCTTGCAGCTGCTTCAGAAAATGGCCCCCAAGTAGTAACCTAGCGCACCCCTGCTTAGCTTTCAAATCGTGACTATAGCTGCAGGATGCACAGTCAGAGAGGTTTGTAAGACCTGGCTAAACAAAGCCTTGGCTGGCATGATCTAGCTGGGGATGGTCCTGCCTTGAGCAGGGGGTTGGACTAGACGTGACCTCCTGAGGTCCCTTCCACCCCTCATTTTCTAATGACCAGATTGCGCTGGTGATAAAATCCTTCCAACTGACTTTTCCTGGTCGTTGTAGGAAGCTGACACGCTTCCCTGGAATCTTTCCTAAAAAAAATATATATATATATATATAATATTAAGCCAATAGTCCTCTTATCATGAGTGGGTCATTAGAATTATAAAGCTGCTGTAATGTGCAGATAAAATGGTGTCTTTTCTTCTTTTTCTTTTTTTTTTTCCTTTTCTTTTTTTTGCAGATATTTGCTGTTCTATCACAAACAGTTCCTGGAGTACGAGTAGCCTTATCCAGCAGCTTGTCAGATGAATGAAAGGAAGCAAATAAGCAAGCCTTCTGAAATGACACACAAACCTACCTGAAATGAAAAGACCCATTAAACAACAACTAGCACTGAGCTGTAACAGGACCTACTTGACACTGGCTCACAGCCTGGCGGAGTAAGAAACGAACAATGTCCAATGTGTATGCAGTCCCGCAAGGACAGAAAGGGGGGAAAAATAAAGAGGCTACAGTCAGTCACGTAAGAGAGGAAATATTACAATGAAAGGAATGCTCTGGGTGGGGAAACGGGAGCAGAGGAGTCCGGGCAATGGTACATCTCCTGTGGTCCTCCGAAATGTGTGTGGGAAGGCAAGGGGGGTGTACCCTCATCTCCATACAGCATCTTCTCCATTGGTGCTTCAGCTCCAACTGACCAATCATATAACAGTTATAATTCAAAAAAAAAAAAATCCAAGCCCATTTTTTTTATGCATATGGGTCTGAAAGCAGTGAAGTGGAGGAGGAGGGGATGACACAATTAAGGACTTTGCAAGTATCTTTTTATTTGTGAATTTTAGTTATTAAATAAATACAGTATGAAACTATTAGACTCTTTTGTTTCGACAAACTTAAAAAAGAAAACCCTGGATTGTGGAACCGAAGCGACAGTACTGAGACAGGTTTCCAAGCATGCCTGCGGCCCAGGTACCATTGATGCCATTGGACTGCTCATCACAGCATCAGCACAGAGTCTTGTTCTGTTTGAGCCCCTTTTTTTTGTTTTTGTTTTGTTTTGTTTTCTATAAATAGCTATTTTCTTAATTTTTTTTCCTTTTATTCCCTTTTTTTCACGAGAATGAAATTCATAAATGCAACCATCAGTAAAATGAATGAATTGGCGTGTTTATACTGTAAGAGTGGTCTTGGTTCTTTTTGTTTTGGGGGGGGGAAAATGTGTGTCGGTTTGATTTAGCAAGAAGGTGGCGTTTGCAAGACCCTTGGTATTGAAAACGTACCATCTGCTAGAGATGGCTGCTGCCCGTGGAGCAGGGAGGGATGGCTCTGCTGCTATGGAGCACTTCTGCAATGCACTGGCTAGGAAGTAAACAAAGCGTTTTCTCCCGCTGTATTCAGCAGGCTTTCACTGGCTCCTTGTGTCCTCCCACATCTGTTAACTCTTTGCATACGTCTCTCTCCTGTGTCTGATCCCAGCCTCCTCATCGGTGTCCTTTGCCCTTAGTCGCTGGCACACTTTGGCCTTGACTTGTCACAAACGCATTTCTGTTCCCTTCTCTCTCCGCTGTCTTTGAAAGTGTCCTATTGGCCAGGCTGGCTACTGGTGTAACTCAACATGCACTGTCTTACTCCCAGGAGGCTGGGACATAAATTGAATTGCAGTCCGAGGGGGAAAGGGTTTGTTCACCTCTTAACCCTTTGCAATGCAAAGCTTGAAAACAGTAATAAAAATGATTTTGCCCCTCTCCTCTCCCCTCCCCTGCACGGTGGGTTTTACAAACCCTGGTCTGGCCAAGGCTTTAGCCCCTGTATTTCTGTGTAAGGGCTACATGGAAACGGTCTTGTTCGATCTCTGCATATGTACTCAGACGTGTTGGCAGCAGCAGCAAAAGCTTCTCCTCATCAGGGGTGCAGCCTGGACTGGGGTAGTCAAAGCAAAGAGAGCTTGTCTGCAGAGCTAACTGGAGAATGAGAAAAGGTTAAACCGACCCCTGTCATCTGGAGACAACTTGCCTGTGCCTACCTGCAGAAGACAGATCTGGAGAGTGGTGTGATATACTCAGCAGAGGGGATGGGAGGAGACTAAGCAAAGCTATTTCTGGAATGAGCATCTTGCAACTGAAGCTCCACACCAGACTGGATTCCCATTGTTGATTCACACGCCCAGAGGAAGACGACAAGCCAGCCCTTCTGTACTGCAAGAGATTTCTGCAACACCCACTGACAGCGGCAGAAGCTCAGATGTCTGTCTGAACCAGCTAGAATCTAGTGCACCCACCAGCCAAGTACGGGAAGCAAACCTGAAGGGGCTGGGGCCAGCAGGCAGCACAGTTCCTGCTTGGTGGGTAGTACATTGGGCTTTCTTAACCTGTCTGCCCCATCCTCCAGCTTGGAGGAGTTCAGACTTTATTTGGTGACGATCGCATTTAAGTGGGTGCTGCAGAGTTGTCGTAGCAAAGGAAAGAACTGCAGATGGAGTGTAAAGGAACGTGCGCACGCGCGCACACAGACCCAGAACCGTGTGTGCTTATTGTGTAGACACTTGACGACAGCTTCTGCTACCTTTTTAATAATGCAGCAAGCTCGCAGTGGAAGAAAAGAAGCAGCCTCTCATTATTCCTCAGCCTGTGTTTCCTGATGCAGCTTGAGCCACCACCTTGGATGTTACCGAAGACGGGGCACCACCTTGTGGCAGAAAGGCATCCTTGGCTGTGTGGCGCGGAAAGCCTAGCGCTCCCTTCCCTTTCCTTTCCTGCTGCTGAAGGCGAAGGAAGGAATTGTGTTCTTGCTGGCGCAGGTTCATCCACGGGAGCAAGCCCCATCCGACGTGTTCATCGCGTGCAAGGAAAGGGCTCGGGGGACAAAGCCAGCTCTGTGGAACCAGCCTTTATGCGCTGTGTCATGCGCTAGGGGAAGACGCATCCTTGGCATTACCAGATCTGTGATGACATGTATTTTTAAAGGAGTGGGGGGAGGGTGCCTTTCACTGCTGTGCTTCATTTGAATCTAGAGTTTCAAGCAAGTGGAAAGCTGCTTTTGGCTGGAAGCTTGGTCCCTGCATCCCCTGCAGAAAGGCTGGTTGATACCTCCAGCAATAGTAAATCATGATGACAGGGGAGTGGCAGGATTGCCACCGCTGTGACAACCAGTGCCCTGTAAAAATCTCTGCCTCACTAGGCCTTGTGCTTTCTCTGCCTCTGCATAAAAGATGTTACGATCCTGTTCCAGACACGTACGTTAGAGAACCAGGAGGATCCCTGCTGCTGTCTTGCCCCCACTGCTGCTTCTCAACGTCAGCTCCCAGGAAACCCAGCAAGGCCTTCGGTGCTTCGTAAGGGCACGGGCTGAGTGATGCCTGCCCCACATACTGATAGGAGCTGAAACCGGCCCACAGCTAATTATCCTGTTGTTTTGACTCCTGACTTTAAATGCACTCTGGAAAGCAGCTTAACCTGCCCCTTGTGTACTGAGCACTGCCCTGACCAAGCAGCAGAAGAAATTCCCAGTGACTGGGTGGAACCAGCGTGTGTAACATGGCACATCACGCTTAGCTGCTGGTGTTGACATAGCTTTGTACATGAGGCAAAAATAAAGGCCAGAGACCCTTACTATGCATCTGTTGACCCCTTCCCTCTCCCCCGGCCTCTTGACTAGGGGGAGATCATCATTTCAGTCCATTTCTTCAAGGCACCTTATACTTTTGGCTACAAAACACGGGGGTTTTGTAGAGGGGCCCTCGGGAAGGTTAATCTGAATTAACTGCAGGTGTGATTTTTAAAGTGACTTAATTACACTGCATTAAATCTTTGTCGGGATGCTTTTAAGGTAGGGGCATGTGCATATTTTTGCTATGCAGAAAAAGAGGCCGGACTTTACTAGCCACAAACTGCTCTGAAGCTACTGGCCAGGCGCACTCTCCCCGCGCTCGGTGAATGGAAGCTGAAATGCAGTAACGTCTCCCTCGAAGAAGGAGGCTTCCACTTCGACTCATAGAGAAGTCGGGTTGCAAGGGGCCGCCTCTAGTCCCAGCCCCTGCCCAAGGCAGGGTCTTCCGTATCCAAACCATCCCACACAAATCCGTGGGGCAGGAGCGTGCACACAGGCCATCAACACGGAGTAGGAGACACACGATGCAGCCTCGACCACGTCTGCTCTGCAGTAATTGCTCATCCGTCCTTGCCCTGATCCAGAATGAAAGCGGCCGTAATTCAATTTAGCCGAATTCACTTTGGCGAGCGAGTGAGCTGAGCAGGCCACTGTGGGCTCCTGCTGCCTCTGTTCCTATTAGCCGGGTACATCGCTAACCTCGCTCGGAGGAAGTCAGTTCTGCCGTGTGCGGCCAGCTGTAATTTGGTAGCCGCAGCTGCCTGGATGCAGACTCTGTTGGTTCTCTCGAGTCTGTTGCATTAACGCTTCTAATTGTTTGTACTTGGCGTTTGCAAATATCCCATTCTCTCGTTGCCTATCGGGCTGACGGCTTATTCTGTGTTCCTTTTCCCCTCAATATTGATACAATGATTGTTTGGACCAAATTCCCATAGAAAGGGGGGAGGGGGAGGGCATGTGGAACATTCACCTCCCATTTATCATAATAGCTTGGCGCCTGACAGGCTTTTTTCTGCGGTCTCCAGGATTGCAGCAACGCAGGCTGCCTTCTGTTGTAGGGCACGGCTGTTCTCCCTGCCTCCGTCGCAGCCAGTGCCAGAGAAAAGCTAGCACTTAATAGCAGCTACAGCATGGGCCGCTCGACTGCGCGGGTTGCTTGGTAACGGGAGGGAGGCCTGCCAGAGGGCAAGTGGACTCTGAATTAATGAATGAATGAGAACAGTATCCAGCCTTCTTGCGAACAGGGGGACTTGGCTCGCGAGAGTCGAGCAGCGTGCGCTGTCATGCTAACCGGTTTTTTTTTAATGTTGCTTTGTTTGAGCTGTTAATGAGCACTTCAGCCCCCTTGAGACGGATCCTGGTTGCAACTGCGTTGCTTACGGGGGGGTGGAGATCTCTGGCTGAGATTTTTTTTTTGTAATTTATTTCACTTCTGAGGCTCTGCCTCTTTTGGCAGACACCGGGGAGAGAGGATTGGAGCTGTTTCCCCCCAGTGACTAGGATCACTTCCCCGGGCATTGTGAGAGAGAGCCCAGAGCATCTGAGCTAAGCTAAGCTAAGCTAAGCTAAGCTGCTGCCCTCGAAGCGTTATGAGCACCGCGTCTTGGGAAAAGGCACGTTTCGTTTCTCGGAGGCCAATTCATACCTGGCCTGGGTTGATGATCAGCAGAAAGCTGCTACCTTCCGATATCTGTTAGGCTCATGTAAAGCAAAATTTCTGTGGTCTCAATCTCGTTCTCAGAACATGAGTGCCTGCACGCTAAACGAAATCCCAGGGGATATCCACATCACCCTTTGCTGGAAGGGCAGCCAAAATGAGCCTTATGGGGACAGAAGTCCTTGCTCAGGCCTGAATAGTTTCCATGGCTTGGGGTACCTTGAGTCATGCTGGCCCGGGTGTGCAGGGCCGTCCTGCACTCGCGTCATGTCATTGCTTCATTCTCCAGGGCTGTTCACAAAGCATCTGTCCCCAGCATGGTCTTTATCCACAAAGAAAGCAAGAGGTATCGTGCCTTGCAGGGGACCTTGTGTATCCTCTCCACTGTGCAGGGAGGAATATTGAGCAATTCAGTTCTGCGCTCCAGAGGCTGCTGAACAAAGCTCAGTAAACAAACTGCATAAAGGAGCAGCTTCCTATCCCTCGTCTATAAATGTCACACGGGTAAGAAATAGCAATAATGACCTGTAGGCCGAGCTCTTCCTGGCAAGCAGCGACCAGCTGGTTTTGCATCATCCTCCAGCCAGTCATTAACTGCCAGGAAACAGCCTTTGTCTTCAACCACCGTGTCTCAGTTTGAAACTGCTTGGGCCTAGAGCTGCTGTCTGTGCTGGCTGCCGGACATCCACCTCGTCCCTCTTCAACAGCCTCATTCTCCATTATGACTACTTCCACAAAGACCAACAACTCCCCTGGTAGCTGCTGACCAAGACAGAAACCTCCTCCCATTCCCTGTAAGCCCCAATGATGTGAGCGATGCTTCCTGTTGCGCACAGCGCTACAGCCCTGCCCACCCCTCCCATGTGAGAGGCCCACAAACGTTATTTTTTAACAGGAAAGTACAAGATCACCAGTTTGCGTCATCGTCCTGATAGGCAGGCCTTGTGCCTCGGATGGCAGCATTTCAAGGCTCAGTCGCCAGATTTGAGAAATCAGGCTGGAGAAGAGGAGATTTGATGCAAGTCTGGGAAGGTTTCACCTTTCTTCTGTGTTCGTTGTCCTAAAGGTACATGCCGTGCAGTTGAAGACAGGTCCCTGCCATTGCATTCCCCCACAGGGACTTCAACTACTGTATGGGAGAATGTGGAAACAGAGATTGCTGCTCTGAGTGCCATTTTGGGTCTGCCAGAGCCAAGTAGTTCATTAAGTGAGCTTGGATAAGTCATCAGACAGCAGTGTGGCCAGTGTCACATCTGCCTACCTTTTGACAACCCCCCCTCCCCCCCCCCCCCCCCCCCCCCCCCCCCCCCCCCCCCCCCCAGCTTGAATGGCCAAATGCCTGCCAATACGTGGGTTGAGTGGGGGGCAGCCCTTAGTGGGGCCTGGAGCAAGGCTTTACATTATGCCTCTGGCACTGTAGCAAGATATCTTAACTACACCCTGGTGCCCTCCAGAGGGCAATTCAGGACGATGAAAATTTAGGGCTAATGAGGAACTCCTCTGGCAACCCAGGATATGTGGTAGCTGGAGTCCTCGCCTCACCTCAAAGCCACTCAGGGCATCTCTACACATGCATTCATGCTCTCTAATTACTGCACATTAAGTTTAGCACCTGTAATAAGAGGTACTAAGTCAATGTGCCATAGTAGTGCTGGCACACACCTTTTTAGTGATGTTAATGCTCAGTAGACTCATTTGACTGCACATTAGCACAATAGCACAGCTGTTGCCATGATGTGCTAATGCGCAGTAGAATGAGTTTACTGCGCATTTAGTGTCTTGTGTAGACACACCTTCAGCTCTCCAGCTTTGGCCGGTTTCTGCTATGTCCTCATTGTCTCTGCTCTGTGTCCTGAGGTTATTCTGTCTGCAGCAGTACCTCCTGGGCCACTGACATGGCAGTGCCAAGAAGACAAGAGCCCCATTCAGTGCAGGAAGATACTAACCAGGTGGAATATTTTAAAACAGTTTCTTAGAGATGTATTATGTGGAGTTTTTTTTTTTAAAGGTGGCACTTGTTGGCAGTATTATAACACCTCGCTTGCACTTTCTTCTAGCTGTCTAAAGATGCTGGTAATTTTCTCATGACAAATATTGAGTCTCCTGAGCTTGGTTTCCTGGTGTTTCTCCTCGCACTCATTTCTACAAGGCAGAGTCCCCCACAAGTCTCTTCAAGGCAGGCGGCTTCTCATCCTCACAGTGTAAGACTCATGTAGCCCTAAACACCAATTTTGTCCCAATGAGGTTTTAAAACCTACATACCTAAGTGTTGGAGCTAAGACCTCTCCAAAGTGATGGATTCTAGATGTGCCCTTACAGGGGCCAGGTCTTTCAAGCACATCTGAAAACTAGGCCTTTTGAAGATGTCTAAGGTTGGGTAACCACAACAGGGGCACCTAAATTAACTGTGCTCTTCTGAAAATGTTTGGCCTTGGGAGACTTCTGTCCCAACACCATTCATCTTTGTGCTCATAAATCCCAGTGCCTCTAAGGACTGATGTCTCCTTTGTGTAGTCAGCTTGCAAGGCCAGAGGCAGAAACACAAATCAAGCAATGCTCTTAACTAAATATTGAACCAATTTCTACACAGGTTTGCATTTGATGCTCTATAGATCTGTGAGCCCAGCTATTTAGACAGAACTTATTTCAGATGATCATGGCTGAGAGCTGCAGTCACTGTGACCTGTCATGTCATGTACCAGTCGGCCTGCTGAACCAGCTGCCTCCCCACGAATCCCATCTCAGCATATTGGAAATGGAGCTCCTGACCTGATGGCCGGGTTCCCCTCCCTGCCCTGTTCCTAACTGAGCTTCCTCTGCTTCCAAGATGCTTTGGTTGAAGCTACAAGACACTGCTTTGGTCAGCACAGCCCGTGCGGCCATCACTGGCTTCTTGAGATCCTGCCAAACACCATCCATTCGTTGTAAATACAGCATTACTGAATTTTCCTTAACCAGAATGATTGGCTTCTATTGAAGTTTGGACCCCAGCCCAGAAGGCAATAATGGTTGGAGGCTGGAGCAAGAGAAAGGCCAGAAAAAAGTGATCTGTAACTAGAAGACGACAGTATGAGACATTTAAAGCTATTTTAAAATAGATCTTTTAAAAATCTCTATGTACTTCAAGCCTTGGCAAAGTTTTCAAGGTGTGGAGGCGTCTCACACAGAACAGGGATGGAAATGTCAAGCACTAAAGTGTACCGGTGATTGGCTGGGGCTAAGGAACTTTCTGCTGATACACTGATGGCCGTGGGCTCAGGGGTGGAAGTATGCAGGGATGTGATTGTCCCTGGTCACCATTGGGCTGTGGGCCACTGAAAATCCTGCCAAAGGGAGCCTGGCTGTGTGGGCCATGCCCCTCTGCCACAAGAGGCCCCGTCTGGAGGGGAGGAAGACCCTCACTGCTTTGCCCCACCCCAGCAAAAAGGTACCTCTTCGCCTGCAGGGCCAGCCCCAAACCAAGCAAAGCCTCCCCTGTTCCTCCCCACCCATGAATTTGGAGCTGCTCAGCTCGCTCCCTACTGCCTGACTTATGAGCGGGGTCCCTAGCAGTCCCTCGCCCTTTGTTTGCAGAGGCCAAGGGGCAATACCAGTGACATGGGTGCCTGAAGAAGGAGTCTTGCTGAAAGATTGGTTCGCTTGACCCACAAGCAGACGGAGGCTGCCAAATGGGAAAGGAAGCAAGAGGTTTCCTGAGACTGATTGTGAGAATTTTATTTCCATTGCAGAGAGTAGCGGCAGTGGGCTGCCGTCCCACTCCATAGTACAAAAGTAAGTGTGACTGGTGGTCAGGCTAGGTATAGTGGTGCTTACTGGAAAGAGAGGGCAGAGATTAAGGGCAAGCAGCTTCCTTCCCAGTAGTTGGGCTTCTATGTGGTCGCCAGCAGCCTGACTCTGTGAGTTCATGCTGTGAGCGTCTTCTCTTGTGATGGAGAGCATATAATTTTGAAGTGGCCATCCTCAGGGGCAGGGACAGCAGCCCTTGCTCCTAGATGGTAGGAGCTACTGTGACATGGGCTGGTCTCCTGTGTGGCAGCCCCTTGCTCAGGAAAGCAGAAGCCACAGGTCTCCACTGGCTCTGGTATCCTGCTTCCAGCAAATCCATCTGCAGCGCTTCCTGCTTCCACTAAACGATCTGCAAACACAGGACAGGGAACGATCAAGTCATGTTGTGTCTGGCTGCGGCTCCTGCCTCTGGAGCCGTGGCTTTCTCCCCTCCCTTCTGCAACCTCAGGCCCCCCGCCCACCTCGCCATGTGTAAAACAGCCCTAAAGCTGCTGCCTGCATGGAAGAGCACCGCAAGACAAAAGCTGTATAGGAAACAGTGAACAGCTGGAAAGGAGGACCTGGCACTGTGGGAACAGCCTGGGACCCAGCAGAGCCCCTGTGTGCCGGAGAGGTGAACAAAGTTCATCCTGGGACATCAGCTTCTGCTTGGCCCACGCCATGGCAGGCTTCATGGTGTGTTTGCCACCTGTGAGAGTGAGAATCACCATCCTCTCCCCCTCAGGCCCCCAGCCTGAGTGCTTTGCTTCTCCCTCCTTTTGGCTGCAGCCAGGGAATGGGGGCACAGGGAAACTAAGTGACTTGCCCAAGGTCACACCAGGGAGTCTGGCAGAGTAAGGAGTTGAACCTGGGCCATCCAAGTCCTGCGTTGGCCAGTCTCCAAAAACACTGCGACTTTGGGAGTCTGTCATAGTCTCGTCCCCTTCCCTACCTCTGCAGTGGCTTTCCTTGGCACAAGCTTTCTCTCTGCAGCCTGGTTCTCAGGACAGGGACCTTTCTGCCCTGAGAGGGCACAGGCCCCCAGGAGCTACCGTGATGCTTTGCAGGGGCAGGGTTCAAAGCAAGGCCCCCTGTTCCCGCAAACAAGCCTGCTCGCAGCTCAGCCGGAGCTCCAGGGCCTGGCATGGCCACCACTCAGCACCTGACTCTGCCCTTGAAGGCCCTGGGAGCTGGGCAGATGAAGCAGCTGCCCCCTCCAGCCTGCTACAAGGGACCAAGAAGCCATTGTTCAGCTGGGTCCCTGCCAAGTAAACGCTAGTCCTCCTGCGAGCTGCCCAGACTGAGCAAACGGGATTGCTACCGTTATTAGAGCCCAGGCTCTTGATGGCTGCCTGGCTGCTTAATTAGAAAGGAAGAGACAGGCTTGTTCTTTACAACTCCTCATCCCTGGGACGGGACCAGCTGTCAGCCAGCCGGTGCCAGCCACCAGAAGGAGAAGCCAGCAGTGCCAGCCAGGCACACATCAGTCACTGCCATCGCCTAATCATTGGGCTGCTGCAGAACCATGGGCTGGATTTCCTGGAGAGGAGAACTTGGAGCTTGCAGCCTGGGGGCTGAGGTTGTCTTACCCCTGGAGTCTCTACCACAGGATTAAATGTCTCTGTATCTTTAATGCCCAGCTATAACGCGGACCTCACCTGGGTGGCGCGGCTCAATCTATTAATGTTTGTATAAAGTGCTTGAAAGCTTTGTATGCTCAGGGCTGTAGCAGAGCAAAGAGCAATGCTCACCTGATTACGGCAGCACCAGGCCATGTGTGAGCCTGCTGCACCCTGAGCGGTGGCAGCATTTGTGTCAGGTACACGCATTAGCTATGGAGGGGTGGGAACCTGAACATGTAATTGCTCATCTTTGGGGGGGTTCCCTGGCTGTTCTCCAAGGTGAGCCACAAACCACCTCCTCGACTCTCTCAAGAGGTTCTTGTGCCTCATTTATTGAACACTGATTATTAAGCCATGCCCTGTGCAAATAGCTCCCTTAATAGTGATTAGCAGAACAAAGGGCTCCAGGAGAGAGCCAGAGATCTTGAAGACTGGTACAGGAACAACTGAGGTCCAGAAAGTCTGTGTCTGGGCCAGAACTGAGCACCAGAGCCCAGGGTTAGACCTGGATTTGTGTGCTGGTGTGGCTCTCAGTGCTGTATTATTGGAGCCTCCATACAGGAACTCCATTCAGGAGATGGGATATGCACTGCGAGAAAGGGGGTCTGTGACATGCCTGACATCACACAGGGAGTCCAGGATTTGAATCCCAAGCTGGTGGTCCCAGGTCAATGCTTCCCCCTCTGGTGCTGCCCTCCCAGGTCTCTGAAATCTGGGATTCACAGTCAAGCCCCTGGGCTGCTGTCATAGCAAATGTCCTTGAGCACAGCGCTGGGGGCAGTTCTCTGGCTTGTTACGTAGGAGCTCAGAGGAGCATCAAGGGTCTCTCCTGGCTGTAAGTCTATGTCCAAGACCTCATGCTGGCATCAGGAGCAGATGTAGTTTTTAAAGCACCTGTATCCTCCACGCACCCCAGATGTGTTGCAAGAGCCAGCCCTTTGCTACCTGCTGGTGTCAGGCTTCAGCTGTGCCCTGTTCTGCCCTTGGACTCTGCCACAGTGTCCCCCTGCCCTCCAGCAGCTGGCACATACCTTTGGACGAATCCTCTCTCTTGTGGCACGGCCCGGGGCCTGGTTGGCAGGAGACCACTTCCCCCTTCCTCCTGAAGTGGGTCCAGCCCAGCAGCAAGGAGCAGATGAGGATGCAGAGGCAGAGGCCCAGCAGTAGGTAGAGCACAAGCCACTGGTCCTGGTCGCTGCATGGCCTCTGCTCCACAGCAGCCACAGTGGATGAGGTAGTTACCAGCTTATCTGAAAGTCATTGGGACAAGCGGCACATCAGCGCTTCCCAGCACTGGGCAAGAGGGGCTAAATTGTGCTGGTGCTTGGAGGGGTCCGAAGCAGACGCAGGGAGGGTGCAGCAATCATATCAGGACCAGCCCCTCTCTCTCCCTGGGTGAGACCTGCAACGACTCTTCCCAGTGGGGTCACCCCCGTTACTCCCACCCAGGCTGGCAGATGCCAGCAAAGCCTGCCTGGGTACAGGCCCTAGCACCCCCACCTCCACCCAGCAGAGCCCAGAGCGTGGCCAGGGCTGGCGGCAGCCTCACCGCTCTCGCAGAAGGAGACGCACTGGATGGGGTGCTGCCCGCAGACGTCGGAGCAGCTGATGCATTTTCTCAGGAGGGTGTCGTAATAGGAGCCGGCGCGCTCGCTGCATTCCATGGAGGCTGCGGGCGGGAGGGAGACAAACACGTTCTGCTGAGCCCGTCGCAAGAGGAGCTCCTGCAACGCTGGAGCCCAGCTCTGCCGGTCGGAGGCAGCATGCTCCAAGCAGGACAAGCACTGCCAACTCTTGAAACATTACCCCGGTGCCTGCTGGTTCCTCCCACCCGAGGCCCAGCTCCGGCACCAAGTGAAGATAAGATGGCCTCTGCCTTTTGTTTAAGCCCAGCCTGAGCCCGCCAGTGGCAGAAGGACAAAGGGAGGCTCATGTTTAAAACCTCGGGATACCTCATCCTCGCTCCGGACTTTGGAGGACCTAGGTCCTACTCTCCAGTCTCAGGGACCAGATCCCTTGTTGTGGTCTTCAGCCACGGGCTGAATCGCTGGGCAAGGGAATGGTTGAACAGAGCAAGAAGAGAGTGGCCGGGGAGAGTCCTGCACCATGCCACCGGCGCAACCTTCTCCCAGAGCTCCCCTGAGGCGGCCAGAGCCCTCTCTGCGGCCTGCCATCACCCACCTCTGCAGGAGAGAGCAGAGCCCCTGCCACCGCCTGGGAGCTGGTGGAAGGCACGTGCAGGCACTCCAGTACCCTCCCCTGCCTGCTGCAGCCGGTGCCTGCCCAGGGCATGTGCCAGCCCTGCCACACAGCTGGAGACACGGGTGACGGGCAGGCGTGTGCCAGGTGGCAGCTGGCTGTTGGCAGGACCCTGCCAGCCTGGACAAAGCAGGTTTTAGTAACAAAGCCCCTTTGCCAGTGGTAACCTCAGCAAGCCGCCAGGTCCGAGACCCCCCCGGGCTCTGGTTATTAGAGTTATCCCAACACCCCTGAGAGACTCCATCCAGACACGGGCTCTGGTGATCTGGCCCAGCTCCGCACTGCCTCTGTGGCTGCCAGCTCCCGGTTCTCGTGCTCAGAGGCAGGTTTCCCAGGGGAGGACTGGACCCAAGGGCCCTACAGCCACGTCTCTCCCCTGCAGACTCCTCCCTTCGGGGCTCTTGTAGGGGAGAGCAGTCAGAGGGGCTGCAATAAGCTCTGGCCTGTAGTGGAAGGGGCATGGCTGGGAGGGAGGAAGGGGGATCGTGCTTCCTACAAAGTTTTGCCTCTTGTTGCTGTCTTGAAAACCTACTGGGCTAGAGCCATCTGAGAGCTTTGCCTGAGTCTACTTCCCAGGCCGGCCCCAGCCCTAGCCCCACCTGCTCCTTCTGAGCTGCTATTTTTCATGGCGTTTTTGACCCCATCCTCTGAAGGACAAAGCCACTGGCACAATACAAAGGGCTGAGAGTCCTCGGAGCCTTTCACTCCAGTCTGCACTGCCCAGCACAGTGTCCCTGGGGTAAGGGCCCGACCTCTCCAGTGCCCACGGCCAGTCTGCAAGCCTGGCCAGTTGGCTCCCCGAGCACTCACCACAGAAGGCAGTGCATCGCTCGACTGTGGGCCCCTTGCAAACAAGCCGGCAGGAGGTGCATTGGCACAGGAGCTTGTCCCAGTACTGCTGATCTGTGCAATTATTCATGGCCTCCTGCCTTGCACCCAGCAAAGGGATGTCTGCAAAACAGAAGGGAAAAGAAGATGGGGAGATGCCCAGGAGTCGGCAACCCTGGCCTGTGCTAGGGAGCTGCCTGAGTCATGGGCACTGACCCGCTTCCTTGGGGAAGCTTGTGTGGCCCTGACCAGTGTCAATCTAGGCACCACTGAGGCCCCTGAATGTGGTTCACCACAGAGTTAAGTGGAGGGACTAGACTCCCAACCCTTTTATTTGTTCTCCGTAGGACTGTCCGAGTTGTATCACTGGGGAGGACTACCCAGTTCACACTGCAGCCGCTGCCATCCCATCCTGATCAGGGCTCAGAGACGCAGGAGTTGGTATGTAGCGGAGGGGAACGGTACAGGGGGAGCAGCTGGAGGTAAGTGTGGCTAGAAGGGTTTGCTTGAGGCAGGGCTTTTTTTTGCTGCCGGTCGCTACCAAAGCAGTGTTCCCTGACCTAGTGGAGCCATGGAAATCCCCCCGGGAAGGCATGCTCTGAAATGATGCTGACATCTGTGGGGCATGATCGCTGTTTTGAAATGGGATTTCTGAAAAACTTCAATTTCAGAAAAAAAAACTCCTGTTCTATTGATGTTTTCACCCAGATTTATTCCTGCCTGACTCAGAACAAAACCCCCTTGGGGAAGTGTCAGACACACCCCGTGAAATGGAAACTCCAGCGACCGACGGCCTGTCAAGAAGATGGCGCACAGGGAGAGACGAGCCGGGGAAGAGCGGAAGCAGCAATGCCTGCAAGAGGTGCCCAAGACTGGGCTATGGCCTTGCTCTCAGTGAGGAGTACAGCAAGCTGCTGGACTTTTTAATGCAGAGTAGCCTGTAAATGAGGCTCTTTTCAGGGAGATGAATAGCTGCTTCCTGGGCATCAGTGAGCTCTGGTTTTGCTTTGCCCCTTCCCCTTGGTGTGAGCCATGGGTCCCTGGCACGTGGCCTCTCAGGTTCTGCGGACGGGTTGCCTGCGGTATCCAGAGGACACCGCATGGCCCCACATACGTGTGAGAGAAGGTGGCAAAGCCCAGCCTGCATGAAACCCTCTCCTTGAGCACTGCACACCCTTGGCTCAGACCTGGCCCCACACTGGCATGAACGTGCTGCAGTAATACAGCAAGGACCATGGCTGTAAGCCCTAGGCTTCTCCTGTCTACCACCGCAGCACCTTGACATGAGGACAGGCAGCACCAGGAGCCCACGTATGCCCCTTACACACAGCAGGGCCAGCATCTCTCGGCCAGCAACACTTTTGCAGCATGCTTGTGGCCCTGGAGGGCTCCCAGCTTTCCACTGGATGTGACTGAGGTTAAAAGTGGCCAAAAAGGACAGGGCAGTCCAGCAAAGGGTTGCCAACTTCACACTGAAAGGATGGGGCAGACACCAGGCACTTTGTCAGTGGAGCACCAGGGAGCACTTGAATACAAAAGCCTTGTCAGAGCTGGATTTTCCAGGGGACGAAAAAAGGGGAGACTTGTGGCTGGGGATCTGCTTGGAGCATCTAATATCAGACCCCCCCCCCC